TGGAGTCTGCGTGTCTCTCACCATCATCATCACAGTGGCTAGGATATGTTGACTACCTCGCGTGGTAGGCGGGAAGACTTGGGTTCGATCCCGACCCTGGCAAAGCCTGCTGTAGATTTGGAGTCTGCGTGTCTCTCTACTATCATCATCATCACGGTGGCTAGGAGATGTTAACTACCTCGCCTGGTAGGCAGGAGGTCGTGGGGTTCCATCTCTCTCTCTCCCCCGTGGTCCAGGTGGATTTTCTACCAGGTCCTCCGGTTTAATCCCTGCACATTAGAATCAACGTCACCCACGGCGCTGAGAGTATTTGGCGACTGCTGTACATTCCCACGTGATGGTGATGGCAATGAGCCGCCACTTCGTTCGAGCTGCTGTCATTGGTGATGCTCAGGGTCGCTTCTGAAACAAGTTACACAGCAGCTCATTGGGGCCTTACCTGGAAAAGTCAAAAAATAAAAAAAAATGTGAAATAGTAAAGAGGAAAAGTGAGTCTATGGCTCTCTGCGCGAGTCTGTGGCTCTCTGTGCGAGTCTGCGGCTCTCTGTGCGAGTCTTTGGGTCTCTGTGCGAGTCTTTGGCTCTCTGTGCGAGTCTGTGGCTCTCTGTGCGAGTCTGTGGCTCACTGTGCGAGTCTATGGCTCTCTGTGCGAGTCTGTGGCTCTCTGTGCGAGTCTGTGGGTCTCTGTGTGAGTCTGTGGCTCTGTGCGAGTCTGTGGCTCTCTGTGCGAGTCTGTGGCTCTCTGTGCGAGTCTATGGCTCTCTGTGCGAGTCTATGGCTCTCTGTGCGAGTCTGTGGGTCTCTGTGTGAGTCTGTGGCTCTCTGTGCGAGTCTGTGGCTCTCTGTGCGAGTCTATGGCTCTCTGTGCGAGTCTATGGCTCTCTGTGCGAGTCTATGGCTCTCTGTGCGAGTCTGTGGCTCTCTGTGCGAGTCTGTGGGTCTCCGCCTGAGACCCACGGCTCTCAATGTGAGACCCACGGCTCTCCGCCTGAGACCCACGGATCTCTGTGTGAGACCCACGGCTCTCCGCCTGAGACCCACGGCTCTCAATGTGTGACCCACGGATCTCAATGTGAGACCCACGGCTCTCCGCCTGAGACCCACGGATCTCTGTGTGAGACCCACGGCTCTCTGTGTGAGACCCACGGCTCTCCGCCTGAGACCCACGGCTCTCAATGTGAGACCCACGGCTCTCAATGTGAGACCCACGGCTCTCAATGTGAGACCCACGGATCTCCGCCTGAGACCCACGGCTCTCCGTGCGAGTCCCCGGATCTCAATGTGAGACCCACGGATCTCCGCGCGAGTCCCCGGATCTCAATGTGAGACCCACGGATCTCCGCCTGAGACCCACGGCTCTCCGTGCGAGTCCCCGGATCTCAATGTGAGACCCACGGATCTCCGCGCGAGTCCCCGGATCTCAATGTGAGACCCACGGATCTCAATGTGGGACCCACGGATCTCCGCGTGGGACCCACGGCTCTCCACCCGAGACCCACGTCTCTTCGCCCGAGACCCGCGGCTCTCCGTGCGAGTTCCCCAGGATCTCTGCCCGAGACCCACGTCTCTCCGCGCGGGAAGACCATCGGACTCACCGCGCCGCACCGGGGTACCCGGTTTGATCGCTCCGGGCGGGAGCCGCGGGACCGGAATCTCAGCGGGTTTGAGCGTTCGGCAAACTCCGACCTCTGAACCCCCTTCGCTCACCTGCCTTTCTCTCCCACTCTGGGCCCCTGCAGGATACCGTCTATGAATATTACGTGGATGTGAAGAATAGGAAGTGGTCCCCGTTTGAGGATAAGCTGCCCAAGGGGTGGCGATACTTGCCCAGGTAAGGGACCTCCCGCCGCCACCCACCGCCACAAACGCTTTTAATGTTGATCTTGATTTGTTTATCCGGGGAAGGAAATCCGATGGGCTAGGAAGCTCTCACTCATACAGACTCACACTCACTCACTCGTACACTCACTCACTCGTACAGACTCACACTCACTCACTCGTACACTCACTCACTCGTACAGACTCACACTCACTCACTCATACAGACTCACACTCACTCACTCGTACACTCACTCGTACAGACTCACACTCACTCACTCGTACAGACTCACACTCACTCACTCGTACAGACTCAGACTCACACTCACTCGTACAGACTCACACTCACTCATACACTCACTCACTCGTACAGACTCACACTCACTCACTCGTACAGACTCACACTCACTCACTCATACAGACTCACACTCACTCACTCGTACACTCACTCACTCGTACAGACTCACACTCACTCACTCGTACAGACTCACACTCACTCGTACACTCACTCACTCGTACAGACTCACACTCACTCACTCGTACAGACTCACACTCACTCACTCGTACACTCACTCACTCGTATAGACTCACACTCACTCACTCGTACAGACTCACACTCACTCGTACAGACTCACACTCACTCACTCATACAGATTCACACTCACTCATACACTCACTCACTCGTACAGACTCACACTCACTCACTCGTACAGACTCACACTCACTCACTCGTACAGACTCACACTCACTCACTCGTACAGACTCACACTCACTCGTACAGACTCACACTCACTCACTCGTACAGACTCACACTCACTCACTCGTACAGACTCACACTCACTCACTCGTACAGACTCACACTCACTCATACACTCACTCACTCGTACAGACTCAGACTCACTCACTCGTACAGACTCAGACTCACTCACTCGTACAGACTCACACTCACTCATACACTCACTCGTACAGACTCACACTCATACAGACTGACACTCATACAGACTCACACTCACTCACTCGTACAGACTCACACTCACTCATACACTCACTCGTACAGACTCACACTCTTACAGACTGACACTCATACAGACTCACACTCACTCACTCGTACAGACTCACACTCACTCGTACAGACTCACACTCACTCACTCATTCAGACTCACACACACTCGTACAGACTCACACTCATACATACACTCACTCGTACAGACTAACACTCATACAGACTCACACTCACTCACACACTCACTCACTCGTACAGACTCACTCACTCACTCACTCGTACAGACTCACACTCATACAGACTCACACTCACTCACTCGTACAGACTCACACTCACTCACTCGTACAGACTCACACTCACTCATACACTCACTCACTCACTCGTACAGACTCACACTCACTCACTCGTACAGACTCACACTCACTCACTCGTACAGACTCACACTCACTCACTCGTACAGACTCACACTCACTCATACACTCACTCACTCACTCGTACAGACTCACACTCACTCACTCGTACAGACTCACACTCACTCACTCGTACAGACTCACACTCACTCATACACTCACTCACTCACTCGTACAGACTCACACTCACTCACTCGTACAGACTCACACTCACTCACTCATACAGATTCACACACACTCATACACTCACTCATACAGACTCACACTCATACAGACTCACACTCACTCATACACTCACTCTTACAGACTGACACTCATACAGACTCACTCACTCATTCACACTCATACAGACTCACACTCACTCACTCATACAGATTCACACACACTCATACACTCACTCATACAGACTCACACTCATACAGACTCACACTCACTCATACACTCACTCACTCGTACAGACTCACACTCACTCACTCGTACAGACTCACACTCACTCATACACTCACTCACTCGTACAGACTCACACTCACTCACTCATTCAGACTCACACTCATACAGACTCACACTCACTCACTCATTCAGACTCACACTCACTCACTCATTCAGACTCACACTCATACAGACTCACACTCACTCACTCATTCAGACTCACACTCACTCACTCATTCAGACTCACACTCACTCACTCATTCAGACTCATACTCATACAGACTCACACTCATACAGACTCACACTCATACAGACTCACACTCACTCACTCATACAGATTCACACTCACTCACTCGTACAGACTCACACTCATTCACTCGTACAGACTCACACTCGTACAGACTCACACTCACTCATACACTCACTCGTACAGACTCACACTCATACAGACTCACACTCACTCACTCATTCAGACTCACACTCATACAGACTCACACTCATACAGACTCACACTCACTCACTCATACAGACTCACACTCATACAGACTCACACTCATACAGACTCACACTCACTCACTCATACAGACTCACACTCATACAGACT